ATTTATAAATGGTCAATAATGCAAGTGGATTATAATCTAATGTATTTGATAAATTTAGTGCATTTCAATTCTTTTTAATAATAAAACGTCAAATTGATAAATTGCAATTCATTTTTATTGTCAAAATGATCAAAATGTCATGAAGTTGGTGGTAAGTTATTAAAAGAAGCATTTTATTTTGCGAAATTATAAAGAGCATAATTATCATTACTTGGTCAAACTTCATGGTTTACAATTCACCAAAAAATAAGCTTTATTGTGAAGAATTTAATTTCAAACAAAATGCTATGGTTTTAGTACTAAAAAAACAAAACAAAACAAAATAGAAATTCAATTGTTAAAAATGATTGGTGCAAAAGATCCAAATTAAATTGAAAAAGGTTTTTGATGATGCATCATTGCTTTTGATTTCTTAATTTCTTTTCTGGAAGCTACAATATTAAATTCTTTTACTGACAAAAGTTATAATTTCTAGGAAATAAAAATGTGACCGAAGTATTTAGAGCATGTTTGATAACTGGTCAAACTATGATTTATAAGCCACTGTAACATGTTTGACAACCAACTTATTTTGGCTTATAAGAGCATCTCCAACGAGGAGGCTATTTGACGCGAAAACCCAATTTGACGCGATTTTATCCCTCCAACCCAACTCTAAAACTCATGCTATTTTGATAACTGCTATAGTGCTGCGCCAAAATCACACAATTTGACGTGATTTTATCCCTCCAACCCAACTCTAAAACTCACGCTATTTTGATAACTGCTACAGTGTTGCGCCAGATTTGGCGCAGCACTGTAGCTTTAGCGCAACATATTTTTTTCCTTTTTATTTTTAGCCTTTTAATTTTTTAATTATTTAGATAAAAATAATAATACAACATAAATTAGCACATAATTCATAAAATATCCCTTTTATTACACAAAAATTTATGTTGTATTATTATTTTTTATAATAATAAATTTATGTGCTAATTCATAAAATATATGTGGTAATTCATAATAAATTTATATCATTTTTATAATAAATAATAATACAATATAAAGTAATATGTTAAAAATATATTTTATAATAATAAATTTTTGTTGTATTATAATAAATATATTTCTTTCGGGCACACAACGCAAGAGTCGGACGAAGTCACCCTCCTGTATTAATTAATGATGTACTAAAGTAAATCCAGTACGCTCCCCCTCTGCACGGGTTCCAACGTTGTATTAAAGAAAATCCAGTTCTCCGCAGTGGTGCAGACGTACGGGCCCTTTATGGGCCCGGCTAAAGACTTGGACTTTAATGTTGCGTAGCAAGGTCAGCATATACATCTGTGATGTAGCAGATCTGTTAGTCATCGATCTTCCACATGATCAAGGAAGTTGATGACAATACTTTTGTCTTGTTATTTTGTTTAGCCTATGATACAGAAAAGGTGTAATAATTTTTTATAAGGCACAGCATGTTGGGGAGCTTTTGGATTATAATCCACTAGGTGAATTCTCAAATGGTTTATAATGCAAGTGGATTATAATCTGACGTCTTCGATAAATTTAATGGACTGTAATTGTATTTTTACAATAGAGTGTTAGTCAAATAGATAAACTACAATCCATCCTTGTTGTCAAAATAATTAAAAATGACATGGAGTTGGTGGTGTGTTCTTAAATGAGGCATTGAATTTTGTGAAGTTATAAGGAGTATAATTGTTTTTACTTGGTCAAACTTCACAGCTTATAATCCAACAAAAAATTATTAGGACGAAATCTGTACTATAGCTCTTATTTGAGTAATAACAAACTCTCATTTAGTAGTAATGCTTGTTTGAGATGTCACTGTACAGTGAAAACGGGTATATGAAGATTACAAGGCCAAAAAAAGCAAAAATAAGCATTTACGTTGATTTTAGTCTTGGAACCATCAATAGTTTACCGTGAACAATTGATGGTTAAGGCTCATTGATGGTCTATAGTAAACAACAGAAGAAATTGCATAAAGTTTATTTTGAACCATTTATGGTCCCTTGAACATCGTTAGTGTACAGTGCACAATTGCAGGTTTTCAAAAAATCAAAATCAGACCATTAATGGTCTGCAGTCAACCATTGATGGTACTCAGGGAATCATCGATGGTCGTGAGGAACCATCGATGGTAACAACGTGTTTTGACAGATTTTAAGAGTTAATCGCAGTCGTTCATTGATCCCTTACATCTGCAACTTCCACTATGATTTCAATATCTCTTTCCTTATTTAATAGAGGCTATATAATATAGGAAGAGATTATATGTTGGAGAGATTCTATACTTTGAGAAATGAAAATCTTTTGGAGAGAATAAAAAGAGAGATAATTCTAGGGTTTGTGAAGAACAATAGATTTGTGATTCAAACTCATGGAGCCTCGTTAAACTCTTTCTCGTTGCGCTCAGCATCTTCGGATCGTTTCAGAGAGAAGAGTTGTCCTTGGATTGAACATCATCAACGTTTTTTCATCATGCTTCACTTCAAGCCTTTGAAGAATGATTTACTTAGAAAAAGGGTTGTAAGATATTTTTAATTTGCGCTTAAACTATTTTGGTAGTTTTGTTTCATCTTGTTTCTACCACGTACTCAAGCAGGTGACAATGGAGGGTTAAGACTAGTTAAGGCTAGGTGTTATTCATCTGTGAGGATTTATGCTAGAAGACTGGTTTCGAGTAGATTCTATTATACGATCTTTGCAAGTCCACTGAACTGGGTTATGATTTAGGTGAACTTTAGTCATAGTGAGGAAACCCTTCGTCAGAAGGAAAAGTAAACGTAGGATTGTTATCCGAATCACTATAAAAATCTCGCGTGTCCCTTAATTGGTTTTTTATTTGGTTGTTTTGCTTTTATTTTTTTATATTTTTGCTGCATACTTTGTGTTCTAGCGAAAAACTATAGTAAATCTATTCACCCTCCTCCCTTTAGGCTTGCATCTCTGATCCAACAAAAATAAACTAGAATACTTAGCTTATTCTTAATAAATTATAAACTAAAATAAGCTACTTGCTAAACTTTGTAAAGTAGATTGTGAGCTACAAGACGTAGTTTATAAGCCGCTTTGATTACTTTCACAAGATGCATCGGACAAAATGTTGAAGTTCATGCAAGCATGAAAAGCTTATAAAGAATTTGACTTTATTATTATATATATGGCAATGCCAGCATATACATCAACATATAACAAATCTGTCCACATGATCACATTAATTAGGAATTTGATTACAATATCGTTATCTTCTTATTTTGTTTAAAATTTGATTTAAAAAAGGTATAGTAATTTTCTATAAGGCCCTTTTAGTTTGTTATAATTATATTTATAATGCAAGTGTCAGTCATATACAATTGTAGTTGTTAAAAACTACTATTACATACAGTTGCACTCATCTTGTCTAGATTTAAAAATTTGTGCATAGTATCAAGTTCCTACATTTTTGCTATACACACACATAGCAATATGGAGGAACTTGGTATTGAGCACAACTTTTTATGCTCAGTAGTGAGTTGGCTCATCATCATCCATCCATTCAAATGAGAGACCACATTCATATGGATTTGAGAGTGGATGGGAATGAGACACCTCACTATAAAGCATAAAATTTGTGCTTGGTACCAAATTCTTGCACTTTTCACACGCGCGCGTACACACATATATATTTAATAATAATATATTAAAATAATGTATTACCATATAGTATTATATATATTGATAAGAATTGGGGATCTAATAGCAATTTTAGTGATTTGTGGGTCTAATTTCTAAATACGATAGATTCAAGAGATTGTTATGAGAAAACCCCCAATATTATATGGTTATATAAATTTAAATATACTTGGCTAATTTTTTCTGAGAAATATTAAGAAAATATCCCAACCCACAAAGTTTATTATAATTATTTATTAACAAAATGGAATCTCAAGGTTGATACGAATGTCATAAGATAAAGCACGAACGATAAAAGATTTACAATTTAAACCATTAAAAGAATATTAAAAGATATTTTGATCAAATACTTTTTGGTGGAACGATAGTTCATTAGAGGAGATTTCTTCCAGGTCCTTTCTGTAAGTCCCGATACTAAAGAACAAAAGTAATCAATGCAAAAGTCTAATGAAATCATATCTTTGGGGAAAATGAAAATTTTTCTCTTAATCTTCATATGAATATGCTTGCATTGAAATTCCTTGGAGAGTTCTAGCTTCGATTAGGTGTGAAGAAGAGCCTATAATAGATGAGAACATGCATATTCCAAAAGAAAAACTTCATGTGACAATGAGAACATTCGTGAAAGAAAATTGAGTAATACTATCTTCCATCATAAGAAGCAAATATGAAAGAAAAATAGTTCCTTACATCTTTTTTTAACGTTTTGCATAAGTACATATTTTCCGCCTTAATGCTCAATCATATGTTAAACCTTTGTACTTGAAATATTTTGAACCAAAATATTATCTAAAATTATTATGCATATAAATCAGAAAAAAATTACTTCTATATAATATATTATTAATTATTATATTTATTTTTCTATATTTGTTTATTTTTCGATGTTATCTGCATATCAATTCTTTTATATCAACTATAGAGCATAAAACAATCATCTGCAATAATAATTATAATACGCATCATGTGCAACACATATATTACATACTAGTGTTTTGGAAAATTGTAAAACATATCCTTAAAATATCTAGACTTCTAAATAGTAATAAAACCTATGAATAATAAGTAGGATCATATAAACTTTGATCATGGATTCTATGTTAAGTACAAAAAAATTATAAAATAATTAAACGGCTCGCTTGGGTCGGAAGGTAACCCATTTAATAACTTGATTATTTGATGAGCTAGATCGGGTCAATATTATATGAGTCCGGTCAAAATTTATATGATTGGGTCGGGTCGGATCGACCTGTTTGCCACCCCTTCTCCACAAATGAACCTTCCAAGGGTAGCCAACAACTATAAAAGGACCAAAGAAGAAATACAGGAGATCTACCTATTTAATCAAGAATTCTCTCAATAACGGTCAAAATGCTCTCGCACAAACCAACGCTGCTTCTCTCAGGCTTCATCACCAAGCCCAGTCTCCGCCCGAGGCCGGACCTGAGCTCCGCGGTTCCGCCACCTCGGAAGTCTACATACGTCCGTGTTTGCTCTCGGTTCGATGAGGTCCGGCGATTTGACCATCGGCCGAATGCCGACCGAGAGTTTCCCGCGGAAACTGTGTTGCATGCTGCCGGAAAACATGATCAGCTTGAATCCGTGATTGAATCAGTTTCCGAAGACAAGAAGGAATTCGAGGTTTGTTAAGTGTATGCTTATTTTCTCTAAATATATTTTAGAATTTGTAGTTTAATCCTACGGAGTTTCATTAAATAATAGTTTGCTATTGATACTGTTCAATGTCAACTTCGAACCATTTGTGCCTTTGGAGCGTGACAAAATGTACTAACGGTTTTATTTTCAATGGATTTTAGGATTAACCGCTCAAGGAGAGGGGAAAATGTATTTGGAATTTTTTTTTTGGTCTGAAAAATGTAATAAACTTAAAATGCATCAAACTTCGATATTATTGTACATTAGTTATGTTATAGATGCTATCATAAATTGCTAGTATTATCATCCCTCATCTCTTCTAGTAACACTTAGCATTTCTGGATTCACACATTTAGTTATAAATAACATGTCACGTCTTTTATGGATTGAAAGGTGAATAGTTGATAAGTACTTAAAAGTTATTTATTAATAGGTTTTTGGTTCATGTGACCAATTGTGACAAGTGCTTGTCAAAAAGCTTTTGTAACCAATGGTATAGGGGATTTTGGTTTATTATTAGGAATTTTAGGACTTTATTGGATAACGGATAGTTTAGAATATTGGGATTATCGCATGCTCACTTTATATTTTCTCCCTGACTGGTGATAGTAGGGACAATTCAAATAATCTATGCAACTTCAACTTCTCTTGGTCAACGCAATTTAAAAAAAATGATAAGTGTTAATGTGATTATTCCAACTAGATTGATTATCATACATGTAATAATAATAGTAGTGATTGTTACTCTTAGACGTATCCGAAAAAATTGAAACTTATTAAGTAAGTGTTTTGTCAACATATGTAGCAAAAGAAGATATCTAATTTAGCTCTTTCATGCTTACTATAACGACTTATTTTGGTTTTCTCTAGGCTACTTCAACTATAACCTGTGGGAAAATTTTGACTTTGGATCTTAATTTCCATCCAAAATGTTGCATTGATTAGATTCAACATAGGAAAGTCACATATGGCGCGATCTATATGAGAAAGTATCCCGTGGGGATAACTGATCATGACATTAAATGTGTACTCAAAAGATGTTAAATGTTAGATCTAGCATGAATCTCAAAATCTAATGATCCAACGATTGACATCACTTGGGTGCACATTTAATGCCGTGAACTCGGGTGTACTTGATACTTTTTCGATATATATAGAACTTTGTAATTATTTGTCAAATGAGATTAATTCCAAAATAAATAGTAAACTAAAAGTTATTGTGGGAAAAAAATAGAGACCAACTATAGTTAAATCTGAAAAGGGCTTCTCTATTTGTCCCTTAAATTATTAGAATTAGACTCTTAATCATTGAGACTGCTTTGAAGTTTTATCAGCTATTTCAAATTAGTCACTCTTATCAGTTATTGCGTCTAAACTGTGACCTCTAGTTTGTAGCTTTTAATCACACGCGTTGATTTTTTTTTCCCCTTCGCTCAATTAGAGATTTACGATTCTTCCCTCAATTAAAAGTCCCCAGAAAAATCAAAGAAACAAAATTAAAGAGATGCGTATAGATTGGTCTATGTTTAAAGAAACAGGCTTGGATTTGAAGTAACTTCAGCAGAAGGTATAACTTGAAAGTAGAAACCTATAAGATAAATTTTCATTGATTCGACGCACTAACAAGAACCTCTTTAATTTCCGGTCTTAGTCAAAAGGGTTTTTATTTTCCGGGTTAATCTTAGAAACCCCCTCAATTGCGGGGTCATTTTAGAAAACCCCCTTAGCTATTTTACCTGTAAAAAAACCCCTCTCAAATATGGAGTTGGCGTAGATAACCCCCTTCAACTTTAAAAATATTGTTTATTCCCACTCAACTTTCCTCACTTAACTCTCTAAACTAATATAATTTAAACCTAAAGGAATAAATGATTTAAAATGACAATATTATATCTAAGACATTAATTTTTTTTTACCATAGTGTCCATTTTTAAATTTGTTAAAATTAACTTTCATCTTATTTTCCCTCTCTTCTTATTCCTTCATCTTCATTGCGAGGTTTACGTGCAAATCTAAGTTAATTCCTTCATTTTTGAAATACTAAACTTCTTACATTTTCTGCTCATCCGCGCTTGTCATATTTGAAATAATTGAAACATTTAAATTTTCTTTTGAAGAATAGTTTCCTCATCAAAACCCATCGAACGAACTTTAATATTTTGATTAGGATGGGTTTTTAAACTCGCATGATTTTTTCTCAACCAAGATATTTTAGTCATTGCGTATTTCAAATTAATAATGTTAGGGGTGTTATTTGAAAAAAACTAGAAAGATAAAGGGGATTTTGTGAGACACCCATAGTCAAGGGGGGTTTAGTCATATTTTAAAAGTTGAGGGGGGTTATCTACAACACCCTCAAATTTAATGGGGGTTTTCTAAAGATAAAATAGTTGAGGGGTTTTTTTGAGACAAGCCCCATAGTTGATGGGGGTTTTCTAAAAACCTTTATTTTTCAAACCACCTTATTTTGTAATTATATAAAAATCACCTTTCCATTTTAATTGATACATAAACCACTTTTAAAAATAAAATTTTGTCGGCAATCAACCACCTCCTAATTAAATTTTCACAAAAAATCTAAAAATAAGCTTAAAAAAAAGTTCAAGTTCAAAGTATATAATTTACATCCAAGCATGATGCAAAACATTAACAAAATAAGTCACCTTTTAAAGAGTAATTTGGAGTTTTAAGTGAAAATTTTGAGTGAGAAGTGGTTGGTTGCAATAAAAATCATTTTAAAAATAATTTATGTATAAATTGTTCATTAATTATTGATTTCAGGCCAACTACATTCCCCTGAGTCCCCTCAGCTTCATAGAGCGAGCCGCCGTCGTCTACGGAGACCTCCCCTCTGTAATCGACGGTCCTCGTTCGTACACGTGGAAGGAGACACATCAGCGATGCCTCCGCCTTGCCTCCGCCCTCACCCATGTGGGAATTTCTCGCCGCGATGTCGTAAGATCATCTTCATCTCCTTCTCAATTTTTTGTTTACTGTTGAGTTTTGTTCAATTTTTTTAATGCAATTTGCAGTTTTAACCCCAAGGTCCGATTATTTGCTATGCTTATACATTCTTTGACATTAAGCTGTAATACGTCTCTTATTTAACTCTGATAAAAAGGACAAATTTTCAAAACCACCCTATTTGAACATTTAATCCCAAAAACGACCTGTTTTGAATTTATTTGCAAAAACCGACCTGGTTTTAGCCTTGGGGCTGAAACCAGGTCGGTTTTTGTGAAAAAACTTCCGAAACTTCACGGGAGTTGAACTCCCGTGAAGTTTAGTAAAGCTGCTAAACTGTAGAAATAGGTTAAAACCAGGACTGAAATCAGGACGGTTTTCAAATTTTTTTATTTAAAAACCGACCTGGTTTCAGCGCCAAGGCTGAAACCAGGACGGTTTTTGAAAATAAGTTCAAAACATACTTTTTTTTTTGGGATTAAATGTGGAAATAGGTTGGTTTTGAAAATTCGTCCCTGATAAAAATTATCCACCTTGGGTGATCCGCACGTTTAGAAGATTCCGATAGTACTCCCACGGTCTCGGGGTCTGACTTCAGGCTGGTTTTTATTATAAAAAAAAACCTTCTCCCAAAAAAAGGGATTTCGCCTATCAACCCTATTTGCATATTTACCCCAAGATCTGTATATTTGCTAATTTAACGGTGTTAAATGAGAGGACTAAATATACCTGTAAGTTAAACTTTGGGGTATATAGGCAAGAGCCGCTGTAATTTGAAGGGAACTATGATCTCCTCCATGAACAAACTTGCATTTGGAAGGGATTAATGTGGGTAAGAGCTTAATATTTGCTTCTCCAAGTATTTTCCTTGTTGTGATGTACTTTAACCTTTTTTTTATTCTTATTTTTGTTTCCATTATTTGATGCACAGATAGTTGGGGATGTTCAAATATGACTTCCAAGATATTGGATCCGATTCCTATATAAAAAAATCAAAAGAAAAAAAAAATGATGCACATATGATTAGGACTGTTACCAATCTCTGATACAAGTAACCAGACCATGAAAATTAGACAATATCCGCTTACAAATGGGTGTCTTTGGGGTATACTAGTAGGATGTTGGTGCCATTTACATGGACATGATTAGATATTTACAATTGCCTACTTGTAGCAGGAGGATGAGATGGAGAGAGGAAAGGATGACACCTGATATATCATGAAACTCGATGCATATCTTGCAAATTTCTTAGCACAATTACTACAGTTTTATCAATATACGATATATCACCCAGATATCACCCTCTCTTTTTTTATTATATATATAATATTTGAGTGCTGCTACGGGGACCCAAAATATGGGACCAAGGGAGGGGACAGGTGATGTGTCCCCTCCCTATTGCATAATGAGTTGGCCATGCCAACTCATTATGGCCAACTCATTATGCAATAGGAAGGGGACACATCACCTGTCCCCTCCCTTGGTCCCATATTTTGGGTCTTTAAATCATTTTTCATAATATTTCCTTACTTCTTTCATATTTTGGATGCTTATGATTTTGTGTTTAAAAAAAAAGTGAGAGTAAGTACAATTTACTGGGATGATCATACTTACTACTTCACTCGATATCATCATTCCTTTTCTTTTCCTGGCTCCACAATAGGCAAAAGAGAGATGGCCTTAACAAGATTTGTCGAAGATCAAACTTGTGATGTTTTGCATCTTTTTCTGAAGAAAAATTCTAATGACTAATGAAATAGATCCTGAATAGAGTTCCATTTTTGTTACAGTTACTGTTTAAAGTTAATTTAGCTCCGTCCCAAATGGATTCATCACTCTGAAGTTTTTAATGGCCTTCAGTTTGGTTTTCTTGAATCAGGTTGCTGTACTCGCCCCCAACGTTCCTGCAACATACGAACTCCACTTCGGTGTTCCAATGGCCGGTGCAGTCCTCTGCCTTCTCAATCGACTCTGCTACGATATCCTACCTACTGAGGCACTCAGGGGCCAAAGTCCTCTTCGTCGATCACCAGCTACTCGAAAAGGCCCAGGGCACTCTCAAACTTCTTTCGGTGTCTAACGCACCTCCTCCTATTCTGGTTACAATCTCAGAACCAGGATCACCGACTACCTCAGCAGGCATGGACTATGAAAATCTCATAGCCACCGCCGACCCACATTTTGAAATTAGGTGGCCTGTCGATGAACATGAGCCTATATCGATAAATTACACGTCGGGTACAACATCCAAACCTAAAGGCGTTGTCTACACTCATCGAGGAGCGTATTTGAATGCTATTTCAACGTTTGTCATGCACGAAATAACTTCGATGCCAGTGTACCTGTGGACTGTACCGATGTTTCACTGCAACGGTTGGTGCCTCACCTGGGGCATCGCAGCCCAGGGTGGGACCAACATCTGCATCCGAAATGTTACAGCGAAGGGAATCTTCGATAGGATTGCTCTCCACAAGGTAACACATATGGGCGGAGCACCGACAGTTTTAAACTCCATTGTGAACTCGCCAGCTGGCGACCAAAAGCCGCTCCCCCATCGAGTAGTGGTGATGACCGGAGGCTCTTCGCCCCCGCCTCATGTTCTTTTCAAGATGGAAGAGCTCGGGTTTACCATCATCCACATGTATGGACTCACTGAGATTGGTGGTCCAGCCACAGCTTGTACATGGAAGCCAGAGTGGGAATCTTTACCCGCGGAGGACAAGGCGAAGATTAAGTCCAGGCAAGGGCTTCATCATATCGGGATCGAATTGGATGTGAAAGATCCCATTACGATGAAGAGCGTTCCGTATGATGGTAAGACGATGGGCGAGGTGATGTTTAGAGGAAACACTGTGATGGCCAGGTACTATAAAGATCCAGAGGCTACTGACAAAGCTCTTGCGGGTGGCTGGTTTCGGTCTGGAGACTTGGCAGTCAGACATTCTGATGGATATGTACAAGTTAAGGATCGGTCGAAGGACATTATAATTTCAGGCGGGGAGAATATAAGCACGGTTGAGGTGGAGGCCGTGCTTTTTGAGCATCCGGCTGTTTTTGAGGCTCGCGAGGCCTGACGAGCACTGGGGGGAGACACCGTGTGCTTTTGTGAAGCTGAAAGAGGGGTGTAAGGTGAGTAGCGAGGAGATTGTGCAGTACTGTCGCGACTCGTTGCCGCATTATATGGCGCCGAAGACTGTCGTGTTTGAGGAGATACCGAAGACTTCGACGGGAAAAGTGCAGAAGTATGTTTTGAGGGAGAAAGCGAAGGCTATGGGGAGTATTTCTAAGATTAATGGTGCTCTTAAGATTTGATTGTTTATGACCATGCTTTTATTCCCTTTAACTTAGAGAGCATCTTAGTTATCTTTCTCTGAAGATGATGGTTAGATTTGTTGCAAGTTAATTATCAAACTGAGATGTATTTTTTTCTTGTAGAAGGGGAAAGATACAGATTATGGTACTAAAGAACTGTTCTACTATGCTTTTTCTTTAAAATATGAAATTTCTAATCCGTCACTATTTTAATGAAACATTTATATATATATATTTTTAAAATCTCATGTGGGGCCCGGTTTACTGTAGCAATGAGAGGGGGGAGTGTGGTTGGGGTTGTGGTGGGTGGTGTGCCCCTAACACCACTCATATATATATTATCTGAAGGCATTCTGAGTGTATCTGTACAAGTGTATTCATTGTCACACTGTGTTTTGGACTTTGTTACAGAATCTGCATCCAAAATGAAAAATTACCTGCCACGGAATCTGAATATCTTTGATCTTGACTTCAGGTACATTCGGCACACAAAACTCACCAGTTTTCTCTATTGGCGATCTATGATTTACAAAACAGATAAGAGTCAAAGGAGGCCTTGATTCTGTATGATTTCATTTTTTCCTTGTTTGACACAATCCATTATATCAAATTTTGTGTTGTATACTTATTAAGTACACACTTGAGAGAAACATATATTAGCATCTCTGTACTATGACTACATGTTAATTTTCTTTCCATTACCAATGAGCAGTACGTACAAAAAAACAAAAGGCATATCCGTGTAATTCACATTCTCTATGATTAATTTAATCATTACATTTTTATTATTAATAACAAACAGAGATTAATATTAACTAGATGGAAGGAGAGTAATAAGAGCTGTAAGAGACTTTGGGTAAGTGCTAATTAAAAAAAATAAAAGATATGTTTTTCTTACCAATTATTTTATTTCTTTCTCTATGCATTCTTTCATTTTCCTGTGTTTTTATATTATCTAAATAAGTTTAAAATCTCTTTAACTATTTAATATTTATGATTCACTTATAAAACCACGCATGGGTGAAAACTAGTTAGGCTAGCTATAAATTTAATTTTAGCAACTTGAAAGGAAGAGAGACAGAGAGAGAGAAAGAGGGAGAGGAAGGGATTTACTTGGAGAGCCCAACTTTGAAAGATTAAAGGACAGCATTCTACTGTATAGAATCAAAAAATGATTCAGGAAAATTGAAAGTAAATACTGTGGGAACTGTAAAGATTAGTTAGATTAATGGCCTTTATGTATTCCATTATTAAATCTAGTAGCAGTAGCCAAAATAAGCAATCAACTGTAAAAATATAGGGGATTGAACCGACACTAGACTTATATGGCTATATCTCGAAATAATCTAACAATTATATCAGCAAACCTTTCGTTAAAAGGACATGCAACAAAAACCAAAGGGTTGGTTCGCAATATACGAAGTTTCCAGTCTTCTCTCAGGACGGTCATTGCTTACTTTTTTTTTTCTGTAATAATTTCAAGGAAGGCCAATGCAAGCTACGCAATAAGCTACGGTAATTTTCTACTAACGGAAACAAAATTTCGAGGCCCTTTATCGTGAATTGTTGTTAAATTTATGTCCAGTATGTAAAATGGGCCTGAATGTAATACATAACTAATAGATAACTAATGAAATTTTGGCGAGGTACCAAAATGTAAAGAAATTGGAACCTTGGGGTATCAAGTGTCAAAAAAATACTTTCTAATGTGAAAATAAGCTTTTCTTTTAGAGAGAAATGTATGGTGATACAATTGTAGGATTATTTCAAGACGTAAACATGTCTCATGGTCAAGCGTCTGGCTCACTCCCCTATAGCCTTTTTTTTTTGCATGCCGTGCAGCATTTCTCACTATTAATTACTTCATAATTAGTTACAAACTACTAGATAATTAATTAACAGAATTTGCCACCAATGTAACTTCAGGTTCCCCATACTATTTTTCTCTCAATTTCCGGAATTATTTTTGATTCTAATATATAGTACTAGACATCCTGAGTTTTGAGGTTCTGCATTGCTCACTTTTTGTCAGGAAATTTCGGCTTTATCAGGTAAAACTCTTCCTCTCTGTTTCTGTAAAATTGATAAAATTACAATTTTACTGTCTAACAATGCTATCTTATAGCACGATAACAGGCAAGCCGAAGTGAAAATCAAAGACAATGCATAACTTCATCAAATCTGTTGCAAATGCTTTTCATCAAACAGTGCAGAAAGTGATGCCTTCTGCTAAAATTGCAGGCTTTCATGTAGTCTCAAGTGATCTTGAAAAGGTCACTATCATGGCCCACTTGATAATAACAAACCCTGGTCCACTGCCGCTTGCCTTCACAAATGCTAGTTACTCAATAATGATCAACGGAAAGGAGATTTTCTCAGGTTCGATTCCGGGTGGGATCACTGTTGGGGCTCATTATGCATCCACAGTAAACATTCCCGTCAAAATCATTTATCGCGATATTATGGCTTGTCTCAAACCGGGAAACGTAAATTCTTACAGGGTCAATGCCTGTGTCAGTCTTGTTTTGCCTGTTATTGGGAGTCATAGATTGCCAGTAGAGATAACTGGAGACTTCAGTTTGCCGAATATACCTGAAGTAAAGATCAAAGATATTCAGATTGGAAATGCATCGAACGAGGAAATTAGTGCAAGTGTTCAATTGAACGTAGCGAATAAAGATGAAATTGAATTGGAACTGAATAACTTGGAGGTGGATGTTAAGCTTTCCAATGTAAGAATCGCAAGCGTCAAGGTGAGCAAAGTGTTACTTAGGAAGAAAAGTTCTATTTGCATGGTGATTCCTGTCTCATTAAGGCCAAAGGATATGACCAATGCTCTCTTGGATTGGATCCAAGGGAAAAACTTTTGCTCTTCCGTGATGGGAAATGTCGATGTCAACACTCCATGGGGACCACTGAAACTGAGGTTTTAGAATTATAGGTTGAACAAGGGATCAATTTGCTCGATTTTCGCTACAAGCATATAGATTTATGCAGTATATATATTGAGAGTTTTTAGCATGCTTCTTTCTTTTATTTTCCTTTTTACTTACCGGTCTTTCGAGTTTAAATTTGAGGAGAAGGAAGAGTATATCTCAATCTTACTTGTATTTCGCTTCAATGGTTTCTATTTACTGGTGTATTCTCGAGCTAGTTGTTAGTCATGGGAACACTTTAGTTTCTTCTCTTCCATAGCAAATTGTGTTTGTGTATGCTTTCTGTTTATGTTCTAAACTCTAATTCTTTGTATGTACACTCCGAATCATAGGTACTATTGAAATTTATCCTTTTTTTAAAAACTTAGATCACTGAGAGTTTATCTGTATTTGTTCTCACAGTGTTCTGCAGTTATTTATGTCCCCAGATAGTCAGATGTTTATTGTTGTAGTAATTCATTAGACTATGGAAAGTCTTGCGATTTGTAGGGAGAATGCTTGACGCTTGAAAGGTTTACCCTGTTGTAGGAATTATAAATTTTCATAATATATAACATGGCGATATTTAATTTTCATATGGCATTTTTTTTTCCATTTTTGTGCCGGAGTGGTTATCAGGCTTGACTAGAAATTTAATCTCTTGAACTTAATTAATTTTTATTCACGAAAGATTAAGAAGATGAGAATATTTGAGGAGTGTTTATAGTTTTCTTTTCCTTTTATTTTTTTTATTTTTTTAGGAGAAGGAATTAATCTATAGTTAGCACTTACCTTTCCTTGAAATATTTCCAGGAAAAGTGGCAATGGCTGTGCTGAGACAAGATAGGATCTGTGTGTTCTGTCAACAAACCCTTATTTTTTGTTTCATATTCTTCTAACAAAAGATTTGCTGATATAACTGATTGGATTATTTCGAGATTAATCATGAGTCAAGCGTCAGGCTCAATCCCCTAGCACAATTTTATTTTACAGCAATAACCGCGCAGGCTTATAAAAGATACAATTTTACAGCAATAACAGTGCATTTTATTACAGACAAAGAAAACGCATAACTTGAAGAATGTAAAATGCACAACTTGAAGAATGTAATCGCAAATTATTTTTTTCCATCAAAAAGAGCAAAAGATAGTTGCTGCAATCGAAATCCAGACACCACTTGCTGAGATTGCAGACTTTCGCATTGTTCCAAAAGATTTCTAGGAGAGGCCAAATATCTTCATCGACTTGCTAATAACAAATCCAAGTCCACTGCCAATACCAATGGTAGATGTTTGTTATTCACTCATGATCAATGACAGGGAGCTTTTCTGTTGTTCTGCTCCGCGTCAGGTTACTGTCGATCGGGTCTCTCGTTCTTCATCCAGTATACCGGTCACAGTCATTTATGGCCATTTTATGGTTTGTTTTGTTTTGAACCGGGATGCATGAATCCTAGTAGGGCCAAGGCCAATATCATCTTTAATCTAGCTGTATTTGGAGATTTGGAGATTGCCAGTAAGAAGAATGACTGTTGAGTTTTTGGCGCCTCGTGTGCCTGAATTCAAGATTGAAGATGTTGAGATTGAGATTTTGTCGAACGAAGAAATTAGAGCAGGTGTTCGATTTGGAGTAGAGAGCAAGGATGAATTTGAATTAAAGCTGAATGATTTGGAGGTGAGTGTAGTGTAAGGATTGGAATGTCAAAGCAAAAGATGTGTTCATCGCGAAGAGAATTCGCTCTGTTGGATATGATCAGAGGAAAAACTGTTCGTTATTCTGTGAATGGAAACACCTATAGTGATTCTAGTATTTTATTTTACGGGGCAAGATGTTCAGAAAAAGGAGATTTTTTAGAAAAAGACCATTTTTTAAAAAATAATTAGCAAAATCGCATAGCAAAATTGTCCTCTTTTTTCAAGAGCGCTTGACTTTGTAAAAACCTGGCTTTAAAATTCACGGGACTAGTAGTCACGTGTATTTAGTTCTCATTAATTAAACCTTAAGCATTTCGGCACAAAAGTTCACGATACGACTGTTTCAGATTAACCGTGATTAGCGGCCACTAATTACACGGGACTACTGGTCACGTGTATCTTAAAGTCAGTATTTTGCAAAATCGACCTCTTTTGGCTAGAAAGAGATCCATTTTGCTAATGTTTTCATAAAAGAGTCGCTTTTGCTTATTGTTTGTCAAAAATAGCCTTTAAAAAAAAAACTCTCCAAATCATAAAAATTACTAGCTACAATAGATCCGGAATACGCAGCAGAAGGAGCAAAGACTAAAGAGCTCATGTGAATTTAATATTAAAGGATGAAAGAATGGTTTTGTTTCATTTTCCACGTTACTTGGTGTCATAACAATTGTAATGTATTGACAGAATCTCTGCTTCATATCAAAATTTGTGTTGTGTACTTGTGAAGTTGACAGAAACATACATTAGCATCTTTGTACTATGACTACCTGCCAAGTTTCCTAGAGCTTCGGGATGATTAATTTGGGGCTTTGAAATGAGATATCAATTTTATTTTATTTTTATCTTTATGGTTTCTGGCCTTGTATAGTTGATTAACATGGATATGATTAATTGTTAATTTAACAAAGAAATAGCTCTCAATGTAACAGAAATATGATATTGTTAAATTAGCAAAGCATCAAGAAAACTTGAACATATTAGTAAATATTATGCAGCTGCTGCCATCCATATGCAAGAATTAAGCAAGTATTATCATAATCATAATGAATGACCACAACTAACTTGCAAACCTTTTTAATACAGATTCAGTAAAACCTGCAGAAACAGAGTGAGATCAAATACAGATGAAATTATGCATGGTTTAAGCAAAATATGTAAACATTCCATCAAGAACTAATCGATTGAAACAGTCATATCTTGAAGAAAGGACAGAATAACACTTTTTCATATCTTGAAAAAAAAGTAGAGTAACAATTGCAATCCTTCCCTTTTCACAATTAAGGAAAAATCAGTGAGCATTTGCTCCTTGACCATGATTTTTTTTTAATCTATTGTTCTCTGGCTGCCACTTGTGCTGTCTGCTCATCTAGATCGTGACTAGGTTCGATGTCGAGGATTCTCCTCAAGTACTCCAACTGCTCAAATTCACCCTGAAGCTCTTCCCACTGTAATTAATAATAGACGGTCATTTACAAAAGAGATCACAGATGATGTATATTAATAGTGATTTTTAATTCAAGCTTATATCTTATGTCAGCACATTAAAACAAGCCATTTATAAAGGAACACCTAAGTACATCAGAATTTAGTAAATTAATCTAATATTCTCTTCAAAGACGATTTCCAACAAGAAAACATATATTAGAGTTCTTTCGAGACAGAAGTATTTCGCCCAGCTGAACAAAACAAATATTGGGAAAAAATTCTAGAAAATTATTGTGTAAAGAATTTGGCTTTTCAGAAGGTCTTAGCCACAATCAGAAAGCACCTAATGTCCTACATAAGCAAACAACAGTTGTAGGATGTCAGAAGTTCAGAATTGACGGTTAAGAGGACTAAAAGGGGAAACAAATGCAACGGGCATGAACGTGCTAAGCAAAATCTTGGTTTCTTAGTGTTTTGATGTCCAGTCAACTTGGCTAGAATTTTCATACTCTTCCACGATTTTACTAAATTAAATTGGTTATTTGTTTATGGGTTCCCTGATTTCTTCTGTCAAACAACAAATAATGCACAAACAGAATAAAAGTGCAAATCATAATACAAGTAGATTACAGATAACCTAGTTATAAAGAAATTAGGTCGTGTCGCCTCCATGGGTTCACTCTTATTTGATTCTTTACCTTGATTTACCTATTCCACATGTTTAGCTGAAATAAGTCTTTTTCTGAATAGATTCCTTGCATACTGGAACAATGCTTGAAAGCCTACTGTGCATACTATACAGAGACAACAATGTTCAAACAGGTCATCAAACATGACTTTTTGAAGTTGGTGATTTTACTCGTGTATTATGATGTGGACATCTATAAATTTAAGAAACATATAAATTTTCAATCATTCTTTGTCTTTTATGACATACCTCCTGATGAGAGAGAGACACCAGTTTCCAACCTGCAGCAGCAATGTACCGTCGTTTCAGCATAGTATGACCTAAGGGAGTTCCTGCAAAGAGGCCAAAACATATATATCACATGCCTTCAGTAACAACTGATTAAGGGTAAATTATAGATAACCTCCTCGTCTATACATTTAGTAGCACTTATCATCCATCAACTCATTTATTAGCGTATATCACCCCTCGCTTCATCAGGAAAAGGGGTGGTCTACAATGTATCCTTCTCAAAATGCAAATCTAGAGGTGGCAAGTGCTAATGATTGTATAGACGAGGAGGGCTATCTGCAATTTTTAGCCAAGAAGATAATGATAACATGTTTAAGTGGAACAAAATGTACCCAAATTCCTTGAGAAATGAGTTGGTCCATCAATCTCAAAAGCGAGTTTTTTATCAATCACCACTGCATCCAAAGTGTATCCATCCACCACATGCTCTCTTACCCACTCAAGCCCCGTGCTAACTAGAAGCCGAGCTACCTCTTTTTGGAACGAAGAAGTTGTTTTTTGATTGAACCTCTTAGTATTTCCAGCACGAAATATTTTATCTTCTAGTTCTCTCCTCAGTGATAAACCAAGATGAGGATACTCAAGCTTCAAGCACTGGTTAGCTAGATGAACTTGCGAAGAAAACATGATATCTTCTCTATACTGCTCAGAAATCCTTCGCTCCTCAAACTGGCTTAATGCAGTCCAAACATGGGAAAAGAAATTACGATCTAATCGTCCAAGAACAGCATAAGACCAAGCAATATTCCCGAGCTGATCCCTGTTAAACGTAAGCACAGGGGAATCTTCAAAATTTCCAACATCCACACTAGCCTCAGATTCTGTACAACATTTGAGATTGCCAGAATCCTTAAAAGCGGAATCTAGTGCATCAAGCAGAGGATCTGCACATTCACTCAGTGAAGCAAATGCCCACAAAAACTGAGCAAGTTCTTGCTCCTGAAAACTGTGAACTAACTCAGCTGCTCTTCTCGATAATTTGGAGAAGAGCTCTGGTGCTGAATGCTGCATTGAAGCAAAAGCACCAGCAATATTAGCAACATTTTGAGCATTGAATTCTGATACTTTATCTACTGCCACCTCAGCAATTCGATCCATCTCAGATAAGTATAGCAATTCCCCGCCAATCTTTGATAAGGCCCAGGCTATATTTGATACCCCTTGAGCTGAGCACTCGGGCAACGAGGCCATCGCAATCCCCACTAACATAGACATTTCTCTTTGACGGGCAAATGCCATTCTCCGTGTTTTCATCATAGAAACCTTTTCCATGTTCTTGGCTATTCGATGGAGAGCCGTGGCAATATTTATAGGAGAGAGAGGTGAAGGGCTCAACCCTTTAGCTACAGCCGATATAGTCTCTGATGCTACGTCCAAAACCTCTTCAGCAGTTTGTGAATCAACAATCGCTTTGTTCAAAGTTATCTCTTTCTTCCTGTCTGAAGGTCCCGAAAATTGAGATAATTTTTGAATGAAGGCCTCTCGTGATTTCTCCTTTTGCTCTTCGAACATTCCATTTCCTATCATACTCACGGTTTTTCTAATGTCGGTGGTAGTATTAATCTCCAAGTCTAAATCAAGTTCATCTAAATCTATATCTTCTTCGAATTCATAATCGGATTCTTCAGAGTTCTTCTTTTTCTTGCTAACCTTCTCTTTTTTGCTCACATTGATCTTCTTACTCTTCTTCTTCTTCTTCTTCTTTGATGACAACATTTTTTCAATAGTATGAGTTAAGCCCCTCCCTTCAATACTTTTCAATGCAACTCTCCTAGCTCTCACACACCAATCCATACTATCAGTCTCTTTAAGCAATCTCGAGGCTCCTTTCGGTTTTTTCTTTGGCTCAGTCGAAGTTTTAATCTCTCCCAAGAACTGTAATTTCCATGTTGGGTCCTCTTCCTCTTTTGGGCTTTCTTCTGCCTTCAAATCAACAGAAGAGCTACCAACCCCACACGTGTATACTCTCCTACTTTGAAAAGTGAGCTCAAGCTTAGGGTTGCAAAACCCAGATGTGGGTTTTGTGTTGGAATAGATTTTGATGGGTTTGAGAGGGGAATTTAGAGATGGGTAGCATCTTTGAGGCAAAAGGGAAGACATAGATGCTTCCATTTCAGCCTAAAATTTGTTGGGAAGCTGGAATTTTTTACAAGTTTAAGAGTTGAAATATGAGGAAATTTAACATAACCACGATGAGAAAATGAGATTTAATGAATGAAGAAATTGGGAAATTGAAAATGGAGTCGAAGGCTTACCTCTGTTCCCAAACTGAAACGGCTTTTCTTCCCCCCCTCTCTCTCTCTCTCTCTCTCTCTCTCCTCCTCATCTGAGCACACCCAAGAAAGTAGAAGATAAAGCCGAAGGCGAAAATAAATAAATAAAAAGGCCAGGTCTATTCTGGGCCTGGCCCATATGAGGTTTGATCTGTTACAATTCGTGAGGGCCTAAGCAGTGGCTCGACAAAAGAATGGGATTGGATCATGCGCAGTCGTGTGCCCCAAAAGTTTCTGGCTTGAAATCGAATTACTTCAAATTGTTTGGATACCATGGTGTTTTCCTTCTTGTGTTTTTATAAAAAACACCATGGTATTGTGTTTTTCCCTTAAAATATTTTTAAAACACCATGTTAAGTATTTTTGGTCAACACTAGTTTGACCCAGTATAACATTAGTATTAAACATATTATTAATATATATTATAAATAAATTATTATAATATTTATTTTACATTATTATAGTATTATAAGTATTAAATGTAATGCAATATAATATTGTATAATGTATTATAATATTATGTGGGGCCCGGTTTACTATAGCAATGAGAGGGGGGAGTGTGGTTGGGGTTGTGGTGGGTGGTGTGCCCCTAACATTATTTTTATCCAAACACGCCCCAACACTGTTGTGGGTAGAAACCAATAACTAATAAAAGGACGTCAAATGAGGCCTTTGGACAAAGCTAATCCCAGGACCCCAGAATCCATACACAACTATGCGGATGTTAGCTGAGGTACCGTACAACGCCGCAGTCCGTACAGTCTTATCATCTCTCGAGAAGAACCTGCTCCCCGACGTCGTGCTCCGGCGGCTGA